GGTGCGCATATATCACTGTGGTATGATGCTTTTAATTCTTTTGGGAAAATACCCAGCAGAGTAATAGCTGGGTCAAATGGGACCTCTAATCCTAGTTTGCTTTTTGTTTTTTGGGTTTTTTTGGTACTGGGGATCGAGCTCTGGTCCTTGCGCTTGTGCAGCAGTCAGCGAAACCACTAAGCTAAATCCCCGGCCCTAATCCTAGTTTTTTGAGGAATCTCCATATTGATTTCCACAGTGGTTGCACCAGTCCAATTATATATAATTTTTTTTTTTTTTTAAACTGGGGATCGAACTCGGGACCTTGCTCTTGGGAGGCAGGTGACAGAACTGCTGAGCTAAATCCCTGGCCCTCAGTTATATTATTTTTGGTAAATAGGGACAGTCAAGTTTGGGTTTAGTAGTTTGGCTCCCATGGCTCTGAACCCATTGAAGTGGATTAGTATTAATTTTTTATGTACTTTGCCTAGAAGGAAATCCTTTGAGAGAGGGGTGATAGTAAGATTCAAAGTAAAACATTGCAAAAATGGAATGTATATACTGCTGTCTGAAAGTGTAGATGCATTAATTTTTATAAAATTATCTTCCCCCCGCAAAAATGGGAATATAAAAGTTTACACGTTCCTTGCAAAATATATCTTTTAGTTCAGCTCTGATACAGGTAGAATAATAACAAGTGTTTGTCACTGTCATGCTTGTCACTAGTGTTGAATGTACATAATTTGTTTATAAAGAAAAAAACAGACTCAGCTGGGCACAGTGGTGGATACTTCTAATCCTAGCACTTGAGAGGCTGAGGCTGAAAGATTGTGAGTTCAAGGCGAGCCTGGACAATTTGGCAAGTCTGTGTTTCAAAAAAACTAAAAAAATCACAGGCCCCCTTTTTTTGTCTTCCTTTCAGCACTCATGAGTGCTCATCTATCTCCTTTCCGGTCCATCTTCTTAATGGCTTATGATGTCCTAGAGACTAGGGATAGCTCAGTCTAGCAACAAGCTGATAGGAATTTTAGTAGGTAAGAACTATAATGTCAGAGAAATCTAGAATTGCCCGTTTTGCTTGAAGGCATCCCAGACATCCTTGGACATTCTTAGGAGACAAAGCAGAATAATTATAAAGCCAGAATTGTCACTAAGTGGAAAGATATCCCTTGGTCTTGGTGTCATCCACTGGCACAGCTGTCATGGAGTGGACTGAAGCCATCTAATTAGGGCTTCCTTAAGTCTCTGTCTTGCCTCAGAAAAATCCTTACAAATTTTTTTTTTTCTTGGTACCGGGGATCCAACTTAGGAACTTGGGCTTGCAAGGCAGGCGGCGGGACCACTGAATTAAATCCCTGGCCCCCTTACAGATTTTTGATGACAGCCCCGGAAAGTTAATACACTGTCATCAGCCAGGCTAACAACTTGAATCTAAAGTTTTCCCTTTGTTTTCTTTATAGTCAAGTATATGATTTTTTTTCAGTAATGAAAATATAATTAAAAGAGCATGATTTCTCTTGGCTTTTTGGTTTTTTGGGGGTTTTTTTTGTACCAGGGATCAAACTTGGGACCTTGCACTTGCAAGGCAGGCGCCGGAACCACTGAGCTAAATCCCCGGCCCTCTCTTGGTTTTTGATTGTCCTAAGTGGCATCATTGCTGAATATTTCCTCTGAAGCAAAAGCAGTTATAATAAGGATACAGGAGAAATAAGGGAAGGGAAATAATTCCAGGTGACATGCTTACAGTTGATGAGAAAGGAGAAAAGAACCTATTGCTGAATGAAACAAAAGTGAGTCACCAGACTTCTGACTTCTGTCCATTTATCTACTTCAGGGCTACTCCTCTCCTTGTGAGACTGCTTAGAAGTTTGGAACTAGAGCTCAGACAGATGCTGTAGCTTTTCTGTAATGTATGATATATTGCTATAACATTGGGCTGGGGACATAGCTCAGTAGTAGAGCACTTGCCCTCCATGTGCAAGACTCTGGATTTAATCCCTGCTACCAAACACATGATAGATAGACAGACAGACAGACACATGATAGATACAGACAGCCAGACTTAGTTTGTGACTAATCAAAAACAAATTCAGAAAAGCATAAATATAAAGATTTCTGCTACCTAAGGATAAACATTTTTATTTCCAGTTTTTACTTTTACATTCTGATTATCAAGAGTGTACTTGGAGGGCCAGGGAATTTAGCTCAGTGGCACCACGCCTGCCTCGTAAGAGCAAAGTCCTGAGTTCAATCCCTGGTACCAAAAAACATGTACTCAGTAGCTGAATATTTAGTAAGCATAGAGAATTATAAGGTAGCTAGAGAAAATTCATAGTCCTATAACCCAGAGTCAACCATGTTAATATGTTAGTGTTGATACATGT